CTACAGTGCCTTGCGAAAGTATTCATACCCCTTCATTTTTTTTTTCACGTTTTGTTATGTTGCTGCCTTATGTTAAACTGCTTTAAATTAGTTTTTTCCCACAACAATATACACTCCATACACCATAACTGTCAAGCAAAGAAACAGGTTTTTAACATCTTTGCAAATTTATTAAAAATAAACACTAAAATGATTCCATTGCATAAGTATTCATACCCTTATCTGGAACGGTTTAAATTTAGCTCAGGAGCATTCGTATTGCTTGTAGATGTTATTACACTCGAGTGAAGTTAACCTGTGGCAAATTCAATTGAATGGGTATAATTTGGAAAGGCATACACGTCTTAATTAAAGGTTTAACAGCTGATAATGCATATCAGAGCAAAAATCAAGCCCTGAGGTCAAAAGAACTGCCTGTAGAGCTCAGAAACAGGTTTGCATCAAGCCACACATCTGGGGAGGAGTTCAGAATATAAATTCTGCTTCATTGAAGGGTCACAGAAGCATGTAGTCTCTGTTACCCTTAATGGAAGAAGTTTGAAACAACCAGGACTCTTCCTAGAGCTGGCCTCCTGGCCAAACTGAGCAATTGATGGAGAAGGGCTTTGGTTAGAATGGTGACCAAGAACCTGATGGTCACTCTATGTTTTTCGGCAGCAGGGACTGAGGGACTCGTTAGAGTAGAAGAAACGCTCAGTGCAGCAAAATATAGAGATAGCCTTAATGAAAACCCAGTCCAGGGCATTCAGAACCTCAGACTGGGCAGAAGGTTCACCTTCCAACAGGACAATGACCCTAAGCACACAGCAAGAGTCAATTATAGACAACTCTGTGAATGTCCTTGAGTGGCCCAGCCAGAGCCTGAGCTTGAACCCAGTCAAATATTTCTGGAGAAACCTGAAAATGTGCATCTGCCCCCATCCAACCTGACAGAGCTTGAGAGGTGAGGAGAAGAATGGTGGATAATTGTCAAATGATGATGAGAAAAGCTTGTCGCATCAAACAAAAATACTTGAGACTGTAAAGGTGCTTCAGCTAAATATTTAGTTGAATACTTATGCAATGTACTTATTTCAGTTTTTTTATTTTTAATACATTTACGAAGTTGTGACAATTCTGTTTTTGCTTTGTCAGTATTGTGTATGGAGTGTAGATTGATGAAAAAAAATGAAGGGGCATGAATACTTTCGCAAGGCACTGTATGTTTCTTAAAGGGATAGTTCACCCAAAAATGAAAATCAAGTTTGGAAGGACATGAGGGTGAGTGAATAATGACAGAATTTTCATTGCTGGGTGAACTATTCCTTTAATACTTAATGTCACTTGTTTAGTAATTAAAGAGCAGTTTCATTAGACAGCAAGGAGAATTTCTCCTTTTTAACTTCATTTTTGTTCATCTGTCCAGAAATATCTTCAGCAGCTCTGGAACACTGTTGTTCTGGTGGCCCTGGTCCTCTCCACAGGGGTCATAGTTAATGCACGCTGGCAGTACCAGGACAACCAGTTTAATGATGATTTGGAGGTGAACACTGCTTTTGTGACAGATTCAGTCTGAAGTTGGAAACATTTTCAAAAAGTTCATGACACTGATGTGACTAATTGAAGAAAGTAGCCATGTTAACTGGAGACTGGAAGGAGATCCCGTCAAAAACATACACTACCGTTCAGAAGGTTTGGGTTAGTAAGATTTTTTTTTTCCCAGAAGAAATTAAAGTTTTATTCAAGAAGGATGCACTAAATTCAAAAGTGACATTAAAGACATGTATAATGTTACAAAAATGTTCTAGATTTGAATTTTCTGTTCATCAAATAATCCTGAAAAAATAATTATCAGTTTCCACAAAAATATTACAGCAGCACAACTGTTTTCACAGTGACCAAATCAGCATATTACAATGATTTCTGAAGCATTATGTGGCACTGAAAACTGGAGTAATGGGTGCTGAAAAGTCTACTTTCCCATCACACGAATAAATTACACTTTAAATATATTAAAATAGAAAAAAAAAGTTATTTTAAATTGTAATAATATTTCACAATAATACTGTTTTTAGTGTATTTTTGATCAAATAAATGCAGTCTTGGTGAGCAGAAGACACAAGCTCTTACTGACCCCAAACTTTTGAGTGGTAGTCTATACACTGTACACAGTTTATAATATAAATACAATTTGAAATAAACTCTTTGTTTTACAGTCAGACCTAAAGCAAGACATTTTAAGGAGATTATCAGCACTGAAGACGAGGATATACCGGCAACCCAAAGTGAGATGTGACCCAACACAAACTCAACCGGTGGAGACAGACAGTTGTGCAGTTTGTCTGGAGCAGTACAACAACAACCAGGTGACAGATCCTCAGCACATTCTTATGCTTTTGCTCGGTAGAGTTATTATTCTTTCATAAAGAACGACAGTTTAATCACTGCTCTTTTTGGGTGTGTTTTAGTGTTTGAGGGTGTTACCGTGCCTCCATGAATTCCATAGAGATTGCGTGGATCACTGGCTACTCCTCCAGCAGACCTGTCCTCTCTGCAAACGTAGCGTGCTTGGTGAGAAAGACAGAAATATTGTCATCTGTCAATATTGTCACTTACTCATCTACATATTTTTGCTCCATGCACACTGTCAATCAACACTTGGCCAGCATCACCATTAGTTGCCAAATTTAAACTGAACTCTTCCTTCTCTTGTTCTGTTCCTCCCAGGTAATTTTTATTGAGCTGGACCAAGAAGGATTCTGGACTAGGAATTTGTGGAATTGGATTGACTCTTCCAATTCAGACTTTTCATGGCAACTAAACCCCTCCCCTGTACTGTAAGGTCAGAATACCTCCATGGTAATGATTTTTGACCTCTCCAAAGACTATAAACCTTGTGTTCTTGACTCCAAGATTCTGGACTAGTTCCTGATCTTGGGTCAAACCACTTGAGACGTTTTTTTGAAGGTAGGTCCTTCTACATGGGATCAATTCATTTGCGCACAGTTGACTACTTTAGATACGTTTGTTGAACCGGCTCAACAATTCACAGATACACGGATTGTGAAGTCATATACACAGCAAAAAACAAAGGTAATATTTCAGATCTCTTCAAATTAAGGAAGAATCATACACCTAAAAGTCTCACATTTTTGTTTAAACAAGGGTAGGCATGAAGTTAGGATAAAGTCCTTTAAGAAAATATAAGAAATAGTATTCAAGCACTGCATAAGAAATCTGTCAGTAGAATATAACTCAACATTTTCCTCTGATATGAGACCAGGGCTGGTGCCCAACCTGGCCGTTTCACCAAAAATAGATGCTGTTCTTGGCTGGTGTAGGTCCTAACCTTGAAGATGTGATCTTGACATCTTTTGAGAACATACAAAATGCTTCTGGCAAGACCTTTAAGCAGAAACATTATCATTACGTTTGTTTTTGGAATGGTTGTGTGGTATGGAGCCCCACATGACATGCAGAAAAAAACATATTGTGTCCATGATTTATTAATTTATTCTCTTGTTTGATTTAAATTGCGGCTATGTTATACTAATTTGGTCTTTCATTTTAGTTAAATTGTGGCCATGATTCAACTAAGCAAAAATGAGGGAACAAATTAGTACAACGTGGCCACAATTTACCTAAACAGTCAGAATTTACCTAATAATTACCTTAAACATGGGATAAAATTATCTTAAGTTAATGGCTACAATATCTTATTTTTTTTCCCCTGCATGTCAAGTTTGGGGCTCCGTAGTGTAGTGCCATTGTAAGTTTGCCATTGTTTGGCTTTGACGGCTAAATCTCCATACAAAGAGCTGCAAGGATGCCCTGTGCCTTCTTGCTGCACAGAGAGCAACTTTTACTATTATTGTCGCTTTTAAAGATCATTTACAGGGACTATGAGTACATTTACATGCATTTTAGAAGTTCAGTTTCTTTTCATTTTAGTTTTGAATTGTCTTTTTGAAATGTCATGTAAATGCTTTAGTCTGAAATCATGCCAGTCAGGTTTTTGCGTAGTTGTTTTTCAATAAGAAATTAATACTTTTATTCAGCAAAGATGCAGTATATTGATCAAAAACAGTAAAAACATTCAGAAGGTTCCAAAAGGTTTCTATTTCATATAAATACTGCCTTTTAAAACTTTCTATTCATAAAAGAATCCTCAAAAAATGTATCAGTTTACATTTTAAGCAGCACAAATGTTTTCAAAATTGATTTCTGAAGAACCACGCAACACTGGAGTAATGGCTACTGAAAATTCAGCCATCATAGACATCACATGAAAAAAAAAATATTTTAAAATATATTAAAATAGACAAGTTATTTTTAAACATGGTAATTCGTTTTCACAATATTAGTTTTATTGTTTTTTAATCAGATAATTGCAGCCCTGATGAGCATGAGACTTCTTTCAAAAAACGTTAAAGAGATCTTATAATGAAAAAGCAATTGTAGCTCAGCTACAGTAGGCCTCGACATCCCTCCAAAAGTTAAGTTCCCCTTTTAATTTTCAGTTACGTATGGTTGGATTACTAGAACGGATAGATGAAGACTGTAGCTCATCTATGCAAAACCCTGCTGTAGCTTGATTTTAACTGTGCATGTAAATGTACTTAATGATGACAGAATATAGGAATATGGAATCTCAAGGCAGCCAATCAAAGCATCTCATTACAATATATGCTTATGCCAAATCTGAGGAATTTCCCCGACCCTAGCTATCATGCTTCAGTCATGATACATGAGCTGTCTTGACTCCATGCTTTCTCAGGAAGGCATCTGCCAGACAGGTAGACAACCATTACGTCAAATTACAGTAAACACTCACACGAAGAGGAACAATATATAGACACAGTCTTAAGAACAGTATTTATTCATGTTTTGTTTTATTTCAAAAGCATTCTTAAATATGCTTATTACAGAAATGCTTTGAATTTCTTAGTAAGTAGAAATATGTTACTCCACATGGCAAGAGAACATCGCCTGTTCAAAGTCTATGTGAAAAAAATGACATCTCTCTTTTCTAGAATGACGAATGCTTACAGCCTTTGGCACAATATGACTCTTGTTGAAATCAGACGGTGTATCCAGTCTGTGCAACCTCAAATGGGGAGATTTCTCAAAAGACTGCTCTGAGGTTAAGTCTTAATTGCTTTCTAAACTTTTAGTGAACTGGAACAGGATCTTATGAGCTGCATTTTTGCTTCAGTAGGGTAATGTACCACATCTTTTGTAGAATTCGTTCTCAAATTTATTTTAGATGCTACATTCTCAAACCTGATGTTCCTTTATTTATTTATTGAATTTTACTTAGTGCAATAACTGTTTGTACCTCTTCTCTCTTCAATAAACTCATGTGTTACAGGGCAAAAGACATGACTCCTTTGCCTTACAAGTTTTCTTGTCACATTATGTTGACTATCACTAGCAAAGAGAACATAAAAAAAAAAAAAAAAAAATTATTTTGACCCCTTAAAAAAACAAATTATCTTGATCCCTTATAGAAACACATCCCTGTGCATTTTACTAAGCACTTCAAACTCAGCCCGTTGATTCAAACTTCAGAAAAAAAAAAAAAAAATTTCAATCTGAAAGAATAATAGGTCTATGTAATAGACCAGAGTGTCATTTCAATGCATATCGAACTTGTATAAGTGAGGAGCTACATTAAACTTCAGGTGCTATTTCTGCTTTTAGCTCTCAAAGAATGTGCATTGTGCTGTTGTTAATGTAAAAGTCTTAGGAAGGGATCATGCCCTTGTTCCTCTTCCTGTCAGCCATCATTCTGCGATTGTGATTGGCTCCTCTGTTCTTATTCGCTTCTTTTCTGCGACGGTCCAAAATGATCTCCTGTGTCTGGCCCCGTCCCTTTGGCCCACCTACCACATTACTTGCTGGTGGTGGTCTGTAGCTATCAGGAAAAACCAAGTCAAATCAATTAATGACTGACTGATAAATGTTTTTAGGTTAGTTAGATAATAACCAGTGCACATGTGCAGTGTAACTATATTCCAGTAGGGATGTAACGATTCACTCAACTCACAATGCGATACGATTCACCATACTGGTTTCATGATAAGATTTAAGGCAAATTATAAATGAGAAAGTGTCTTTTTATTATTTCTCAGACAAAATGCTGCATATTTCCTTGTGAAATTGAAATATCTTTTGTGTTAAAACTAAATTGAAAATTTAAAACAAATCCTAAATCAAATGAATAATACAAATAAAATAAATCTCTTCATATAAGTACATGAACAAGATGTTTATTTGCTCTATTACAAGCTGATATAGCTGTAGCTACTTAAAATTAGAGGCAACCCCTGCATTTTAATCACAATCCCAACAAAGATACATACATGCAGCATGAGCAGTTTTTGATTTAAATTAGATTGTATAATTTCAAAACATGAAACAAAAACAGAATAGTCTGACTTTAGCTGAAAAGAAAATAACATCTAAATTTTTCTGAAAACAGTCAGTTCCCCTCAGAGATACAGTCATATAAACCCCCGCCACAAACTGTATCGCGATTCATTTAGCATCTCTACCAACTTGAATCATCACATGTTTTAATTGATTTTTAACTAGTTCGGGGTGCATCGTTACATCCCTATATTCCAGTCATGGTGTTCTCAAATTTACCCTTTCCTGCTTTGCATAGCAGCTCTCCTGGCCTCGGCTCTCTCTCTGAGGACTGCTGGGTCCTGGATGAAGTGATCATTTTTCACAGCCTCATTCTGATCAAAATAACACAAGAGCATCGTAAATAAATGGAAATGTGCATAATCGGAGAACCTGAAATTGTGATTTGTTTCAAATCCGTCTAATTTCTATTAACAAGGAAAGAGAAAAAGAAAAAGGGCAGGTACTGAGAGTGCCATGTGATCTATAACAAAACAAAAGACCTGCGTAAGGGACCAAAATTCATTTAAAACAAAAAAGAGAAAGTTACTCATTCAAACCTTGTCCTCTTCCTCCTCATCCTTGTCTTCGTCATTCTCCTGAGCCTGTTTGCCTGTTCTGAGAACTTGTGGGGTAGTAAACGGCCTAAAGGAAAAATACTTAAATGTTAACTTAGACGTATATATCAATATGATTGCAATAATAATCATTATTATTACTATAAAAAATACTAGTATTTATGACTATATTCTTCATTTTCAAACATTAAACTTTAAAGTTTTTTTTTTGAGGGAAAACCGATAAGCCATATTGCGATTTTTATAAAAAATACTAGTATTTATGACTATATTCTTCATTTTCAAACATTAAACTTTCAAGTTTTTTTTTTGAGGGAAAACCGATAAGCCATATTGCGATTTTAGTTTTATTTGGATTAATAGTACAGCCCTAATATAAATTAAATATTTGCAATGCATTTCCCATTCCTCCATTCAAAGATGTAAAAAAAATTAAACAAAATGGTCTTTGAAAACCCATACTGATCAGCCACATTGGAGGGAGATGCAAGTTTATGTACATTTGTCACAGCTCATACCTGCGGTTCAATAGTTCATCCTCTTCATCTAAATCATTGGCTCCTATTTGGTTGGTATCATACGTGTCATCATATTCATCATCATAGTCATCCATCCCGAAAGCATTATCACGATCTCCAGAGGGGTCATTCGCTATGGGAATCTCATCCACCACTGTCTGGTAGGCTTGATATCTCGCTCTCTGCTCTTCTATGTGCTGCTTATCATTGAGCGTGGCACACACACTCTCCCCCTGTCTGAAATACACAGAGATATTCATTTCTAGCTGACACAAACCATCTTTTACAGCTTCAGCTGAATATTTCATAAGCCCATTTTCATGTGGTTCTCTGATGTCAGTTTACGCTGTACTTGTCAAAGACAAAAAAAGTCTTTTGACCAAGTGGATTAGCATAAATATTTAGCAGCTTGTTTGACTAATCAGACTATAATTAGAGTAATGTACTGCAGGGCAGGATAGGGTAATGCTTTTTAAGTGGAATTTTAACTTGCGATCACCTCCGGCCTTTCCAAACGCGACTCATGTCTAGTCGGTCACGGTTGAACACGTCAAACTCGTCATCGTCAAACACGTTTGATCTGGTGCTCAAAACTGATGGAAGCTCATTCTTCACAGGCCTACAGGGAACATTAGTCAGTAAGCAACAATGAAGTGGACCTGAACTGAACCATAAATCCTAGCTAGCAAGTCACTTCATTTGGACTTCACCTTGCCATTGCCCTGTCCAGTTTGTCAAGAGGAGGAGACAGTTTATCTTCCAGAATGTTGTTGATGACAAGTTCAGAAATGTAGCCGTACTCCTCCAAACATGCCAGTATGAATCCCTCTCCCAAGTCCGGAAACAGGTCACGGATATGGGACAGCAGAGACTCCAGTTCTCCAGCACTCAATGTGCACACTGCCCCCTACAGGCCCCAAAAATAAGAGGGTAAAAAAAATGACCTTAATTTGACCAGAGGGTGATAAAAACACATTAACACTTTTGTAGATATTTTTAGCAGCT